CTTTAATCCCAAAGGCGGATCAGGTTGAAACCATACGTCAGTTTTGACCTATCAGTCTATGTCAGTTTGTGTACAAATTTATCACTAAAATCATGGCAGAACGACTGGCTGCTATTTTGCCCCAAGTCATCTCTGAGGGTCAAAATGCTTTTATTCGTGAACGGAAAATTGTTGAAAATATCCTCCTAGGAAACGAGTTGATGCACTACCTAAGAATAAAAACACGTGGGAAGAAAGGCTCTATGGCTCTAAAGGTTGACATGGAAAAGGCCAATGATAGAGTCGAATGGTCCTTCCTAGTTGCGGTGTTGGAGAAGATGGGTTTCAACTCTGTCTGGAGTGGATGGATATTTGAGTGCCTACGATCTACATCGTTCTCTGTCCTCGTGAATGGTACCCCCTCTGGCTTCTTCTCTCCCTTCAGGGGACCCACTCTCTCCTCTCCTCTTTGCGATTTGTACTGAAGGCTTTGCAGCGCTTCTTCGGAGAGCCATTTCGGAGGGTAAGTTGGAAGGAGTTAAGGTGTCCCCTAGAGCCCCTCGTATATCTCATCTATTCTTTGCTGATGATTCTTACCTATTCCTCAGAGGGTCTCTCCAGGAATGTGAGAAATTAATCGAAATGCTAAATGAGTATGAGGAGTTGAGTGGTCAGCGGGTTAACCTGAATAAATCGGCGGTCTGGTTTAGCAAAAATATTGCCATGCCAGACCAAGAGTTCTTGGCTGCGATTCTGGGTGTTGGGGCGATAGGGGTCCAGGATAAATACCTAGGCCTTCCGACTTTGATTGCCCAATAAAAAATGGCGATGTTTTGCTATTTAAAGGAGAATTTCCAAGAAAAACTGCAAGGGTGGAAACGAAGAACCTTGTCCTGGGCTGTGAAAGAAACCTTGATCAAGGATGTGGCATTGGCCTTATCTATGCATGTGATGTCGTGTTTTAAACTACCCCTTTCCCTTTGTCGGCTCCTTGACAGGCATGTCGCCCGATTCTGGTGGGGTGTTGAGGATGGGCAGTCTCATATCTGGTGGATGTCATGGCGTAATATGTGTCGCAGCAAGCATGATGGTGGAATGGGTTTTTGTCGATTTGAGCATTTCAATGAAGCTCTTTTAGCCAAGGTTGGATGGCGAATACTGAATGAACCCCATTCTCTTTTATCCCATGTTTACATGGAGAAGTAATTTCCCAATGGTTCCTTCTTGACGGCTACAGCTCGGTCCCGTCCTTTGTGGGGATGGCAGAGTATTTTATATGGGCATCAGCTGCTTGAAACGGGGATGCGGTGGCAGGTTGAGAATGGCTGGACGATTTGACTCCTTAAGTCCTATTGGATCCCCCAGAATCATCCTTGTTCCTCGATTTATAACCCCTGTGTGCTAGCTGTCGAAGGGGATTTGCTGGTTGCGGGGGTGATTCGTCCATGGGAGGGACGTTGGTGTGATCAGAAACTTAATCAGTAGTTTCCCTTCCCACCTGTCAAGCTATTAAGGCTACCCCTTTACCTGGGCAGAATATTGAGGATCGTCTGATTTGGCATGCTACTACTAATGGTGAGTTTACTGTTAAGTCAGCATATCATTTTGCGGTTCTCCTTGATCATCAGAAAGGGGGATGGAAGTCTTCTATAAGCTGGATGGATCGGACTAGCTGGATCAGGTTATGGGAGGCAAACGTCCCTCCGAAACTAAAAGTATTCGTCTGGCAAATCTCTCACCGAATCTTGCCAACGAGTGAATCTCTGATTGAAAAGAAGGTCGATGTGCTTCCTAGGTGCTCGGTGTGCTGGGCTGCGTCAGAGAAAATGGAACATTTGTTTCTGCATTGTCCAGTGGCCCATGCTCTCTGGGATATGACTGGCCTTCAGTACCTTGGGGAAGGATTGCCGCGACATACTTTTCCTCTTTACCTAAAGATTCTATTATCTGTGATTCGCCAGCCTCTACCGGTCGTGGCAGTGATCTCTGTCCTCTGGCGGATTTGGCAGTCTCGCAACTGGGTTGTGTTTGAAGGAAAGCAATTTGGATTTTCGGCCAAGGTACTGGGCTTCTCTGCCAAGGTACTGTGCCCCCCAAATCCCTAGTGCCTCAACCTCTTCACTTCCAGACGTTGTGTTGGCTGCGGCTATATGTATGTGAGATGGGGCTACAAGAAGAGGTTCGCACTATGCTGGGGGATGGTTACTTTGACCCCGCTAGGGAAACCTTTTTGGGACAGGGGGTTCAGTTTATAGGCATTGATGACCAGATGGTGGTGGAATTGCTTACCCTTCGTGAGGCTATGTCCAGGGCCATCGTCTAACACGGATCCCATATGAGAGATAATGCACTATTTTTAATCCCCTATTTTTCTTAATTAGATTCTAAAACATTCGTTTAAAATTGAAATTTAAAAATTTTGTATAGAAACCCCACATTTATTATGATCTACACAATATTAAACATTTTGCTATATTTTGAGCAAAGAAAAAAACTAACTTTATTAAAATACATGTCTGTTATACTATTAGCACTACATAACATCATGATATGATGTTGGTACAAGGTATTTTTTAAACAAAACATTAAAAAATGAATAAAAATTTGTAGATTTTAATTAATGTGTTCTTTCTATACATTTTTTTTTTATTTTGAGTTAAAATTTAGGATCTCATAAATCATACCAACATTCTATCACTATCATATCATTATCATTAATTAAGATCTACACAATGACACTCATTTTGTTATGTTTTGTCAAACATAAAACTTTATACCAACATCATATCACAGTGAATCAGTGATATCGAGTTTAATTTGTTATGTTTTTTCTTTTTACTGTATTTGTGAGCTCGTTTAGTAATCAGTGTACCCACACTTGTGAGTAAAAATTGCCATCTCCACCATGGTACAGCCTTGCGGTTCAAATATAAAAGAGAATATCATCGAAAGACGAAAATGTCGATATATCCTTGACGATGAAAAGGTAATTGTCATTAGCCAACATAGTTTGGAAGATACCTAGGACGAGAGTACGATAGCCATATGGATGCCACAACAGGAATAGTCGGATTGATTTGATCGATATATCCCCGCAAAGTCTAAAGTTCTACGTACTATAAAATCGAAGCTATAGTTAATTAGGCAGCCAATCATCATCATAAAAAATGGCTTCTTTGTTGACACTGCTCTTCCCACTGCTGGCGATATTAATCATTACCGTCGGCTCCAAAACCATCGTTGAAGCCGCACCCGACCTAACTTACATCTCGGCCCTCTGCGGCGGCGAAAAAGATCCCAACCCTCCTGAGCTGAGCGGTCGAGCATTCGAAGTGACAGGCTTGGCTGTTAACTTCGCCGGCCCCGACGACTTCGGCTACTGCGCCGCCGTAAAGCCCAAACCCGTGATGTATGGTTTCGGCAAGTGTCCCAAGGTCGTTTCTAAAGAAGACTGCACCGCGTGCCTCAAGTTTGCGCAAAATTGGTTGCTTAACACCTTGTGCAAGGATGTGTATGGCGGGGAAATCACTCTCGCCGGTTGTTTCTTGAGGTACGAGACGTATAAATTCTGCGATGCTTAATCAAAAATCTCATTCGCAATACAGTAAATCAGTCATCTCGAGAAAAGTTCGTTACGTTTGGGAATAAGAAATGAGTTGTGTTAAGCAGTTCTTTATAAGAGTAACTGTGTTTACTGTCTTCTTTATATCTCCATAATACGAAGTGGAGAGAATATATTCGATCGTGTTGTCGGTCTGGTGGTAATGTGAAATAATACTGATAATAAAAGAAGAGCATTGATTATGGCAACGTTTTGTTGGGAAAGATGTGTGACTGTGTTGGGCTTTCATATATAGAGCTAATTAAGAATGATCAATGGCTGTATTATATATGGGGTAATTATCATTATTGGTCATAAATAATATAATGATTTTTTCATGCGAACAACTATTTGCTGCCAACTTTTTTACTATTTTCTGTCAACTTTTTGAAATTATATTTTTTTATTCAAAATTGTTTTTTCAACTTATTTTTTACAACACCAAAACATCACGAACTCCTGAATTATTATACAGTTCAAAAAATGATGCTCGCTGGAAACTGACTAGAAAACTTATCGAATCATGACTCAAACTTCTCAATTCAACCAAATACATCTCGAACTCCTCAATTATCATAAACTCTAAAACAGACGTCGGCCTGAAATTGAACGGAAAACTTATCGGAGCATGACCGGAATATCAATTCAAGCGCAATCCACAATTACTGACCACTATACATTTATTTCGACAGCCGAAGGAATCCAACGGCCTGAACGCGGTGTAAGCTGAACGTCTTCTACGGCCTGGCCGGACTTGATTAGTGACGAGTGATGGCATGTAGCGAAAATTCTTCTACTCAGTTTTTTTTCAACACCATGTCATAAATTAGTTGGTTCCAATAACTCGAGTTGTTGGAAGAAGGTAATGTTGGATCTTATACAGATCCATATATGATACTTAACCACTTTCTTACACGCCGGCCCCCTCAAACGTAAGCCGACTACTCCTTGGGAAAATCTCTGACCCAGAACCAACTCGTTGAGCTGGCAAAGAAGGGCAACATCGAGGAGGATGGAGCAGTACTTCCCGTGGTTATCACAGCCAACGACGTCGTGGTCGACGGGTTTTGCAGGTAACGTCGTTACCTTGTTCAAAATAGTTCGAGTTTTGTCAATATCCACATCGTAGAATAATCGAATAGAATATCAAAATTATTGCCGAAAATCCAATAGGGTTTCGGCTATCCAACTGCATCTGTTGATAATAATTTCTCATTATTAGTAACACATATGCTAACATTCGCATAGATGAAAAATTATCATAACAAATTACTAGAGCGAAGAAAGCTGGTTAAGAAAATAATACAATTTCATGAAAACGATAAATATTAAATATATTGAGAAAATAATAATTATTAGGCAAGTTTGGATTGGACAATGAAAAAACCATGTACACCTAATGAAAATCATTCTGATTCCAATGTCATCTTTATCAATTAGATCGGAATCGGACAAATATTCACGGGTACAGTTATTTTTGCCATTTCGTATTTGCAGGACAAGGTGTGGGAACCACGGCATTGTCCCCTCGCTGTCGAAGATCAACGGAAAGAGCTCATCGTCGAGGTCGGTTTACGTCTGGGTGGGGAACTCGGAGACTCAGTGCCCTGGCTTGTGCGAGTGGCCGTTCCACCAGGCTGTCAATGGGCCTCCGAGCCCGGTCCTGGTTGCGCCCAACGGGGATGCTGCTATGGACGGAGTGGTGATCAACTTGGCGAGCCTGTTGGCCGGGGCCGTGACGAATCCATTTGGGGATGGGTATTTCCAGGGCCCAAAAGAGGCCCCATTGGAAGCTGGGTCGGCCTGTCCGGGCGTGTTCGGGAAAGGGTCGCACCCTGGATTTGCAGGGGATCTGCTCAAGGACGATAAGAGTGGTGCAAGCTACAACGCGAATGGGATTAAAGGGAGGAAGTTCTTGGTGCCTGGTCTGTTTGACCCTGCTACTTCCACATGCTCCACTGTGGGTTGAGATCACAGGATAAAACTGTGGTGTATATGCAAACCTACAAACCAATTTTGAACCCAGCCTATTGGCCGGATGTGTTTTTTTTTTATCATTTATATTTATTGATTTTGATTACTTTATTTATGTTTGAAATCCTTCATGTAGCCTTGTGGGATTTCGACAGAGTTTATGTGAAAGCTCAACTTGTGAGCTAACTTTACAACCAATCATTCAATACTCAATGAATAATTTTTTTATCTTGTACGTTTAGCATAACCCAAAAATATTCTTAAGTCAAAATACGTAACTCCTAGTCGAGTAATATGGAATGTTTGCTAAGTAGCTCAGAAACATACGTATAAGCAAAGAAGAAATATAGAGTTGTGCAATGTGAGGTGGATACTTTCTGATCATACATATAAGCAATTGCATAGCAATTTACCAATTGGTCGATATGTTTGGTACTTTTCATTCAATCAAGCAGAAAATGAATTATCTTTCATTGTGTTTGATACTTCATATAAAAATTTCATGTGTCCTAAAGGCGCTGTCCCGATGGAGAATGAGAAGGTAACTCTAATGCTCGATCATCCCACGACAGATTCAATATTGCTTAATAGTTTGATTTCCTTGTTTAGCAAGGTCAATTTTCACTTGCAGGCTGGCTATCTTTACTGAATCACCTTGAGTAAATTTAGATATGAGGTCATTCCATTCCTATGATGCCACTTTTATATTTCTCAAACTAATTAGGACAATTTCCTATGATACAAAATTCATTCCAACAAATTGCAGTTCTGTTCACACAATCCCTAGTCCCATGAGAAGGATCTAACAAAGGGGTACATGAATCTTACCAAGGAAAAAGCCGAACTTGTTCATTGTGCTCAAAGATTAACGGGAAGAGCTCGTCGTCTAGATCGATTTACTTCTTGATGGTGAACTCGGAGACTCATTGCCCAGGACTGCGTGTGGCCATTCCACCAGGCTGTCTATGGGCCTCTAAGCCTGATCCTTCTTTTCCCAACAAGGATAAGAGAAACGGAAGAAGACTAAGGATTTGGGTGGAGGAGGAGCAGCAGAAAACCTATTGTCCTCTCTTTAGTGTTTTTCTATTTATATCAACTCACAGCGGTAATCCATAGTGCTAACCGTTATATGAAATCTATTAATCCAAGCCCGACACATGGCTGGTTTGGACTCGTTACTAACAAATGTACTTAAATATATTAAACAATAATGGGCGAAACAACGGCGTAATAAGAAATGCCACTTTAGTTCCAGAATTCCATTCTTCTCCACTTCAGTCCATCGTGTTGGTGCTGATGAATTGCCTGAATCCTTGCTTCATTAGGATTGCAATGGATGATTGCGGTGGCTGCTGTCTTTCTGTCAGTTCCCTGCTTGTCTTCTAATAGGCCCCCACAAGAAGGAGAGTGAACATCAATTACTCTCATCTTGCCAAGTAGTTCAAGTAGCTTGTATTTGCTAAATCCCTTAGTGAAGATATCAGCTAGCTAATCTGAAGTGTGTAAATGGCTTAACCTGATCATGCATGTCTTAACTCTTTCTCAAGTAACATGCATATCAATTTTCATATTCTTGGTTTTTTCATGAAAACAGGGTTCTCAGAAATGTGAATTGCTGACATGTTATCACAGTATACAGTAATTAGAGTCTTAAATTGAACTGCCAACTCTGACAACAATCCTTTGAGACATTGAATCTCACAAACCAAATGAGCCAAGCCTCGATACTCTGCGTCAGAAGAGGACCTTGAAACAGTTTGTGTTTCTTACCTTTTCATGTGAGCAATGAATTCCCAAAATAAGTGCAAAATCCTGTGATAGATCTTTAGGTATCTAGGCATGCTGCCCGGTCTTAAACACTGTAACGAGTGATGGTGAAATCTGTACTGCTGCTAAACAAAATACCTTGCCCCGGAGATTTCTTCAGATATCTAAGTACCCTTTGTGTTGTTTGCATGTGTGTGTCAAGAGGGTTAGTTTGAATTGACTCAATTGCTGCACAATGAAGCAAATGTCTGGCCTAGTTATGGTTAGGTAGTGTAGCCTCCTAATCAACCTTTTGTAGCACTTAGGATTAATAGGAACTCCTTCTCTTGAATTTAGTCTTACCTTCATGTCAATGGGAGTCAGTGTCTCCTTTGCATCTTCATAACCAGTATCCTCTAACAACTCTGAACAATATTTTCCTTGACTAACCACAATGCCATAAGCACTCCTTACAATTTCCAAGCCAAGGAAATACTTCAGAAATCCAAGGTCCTTGATTTTAAAACTTCTCTTCAAATACAGCTTCACAAGTTCCAGGTCATCAATTCTTTCACATACCAAGATGATATCATCCACGTATACAAGTAGGATCACTATCCTTCCATGCACATTCTTTGTGAACATAGAGTAATCTGAAGTTGATTGGAAAAATGCATTCTTCAACAACGAAGAGGCAACTTTGGCTAACCATTTCCTACTGGCCTGCTTTAATCCATACAAAGACTTCCTTAACACTCTGTTCATAAAGGAGGGAAAGGGGAGGGGAGGGAAATGTTGAAGGGAAAGCGCCATTTTCGAGGCTTTTCCCTTGTTTTTTAAGCCTATCTACAGTTGCGAAGGAAAGAAAAGAGAAGGGAAGAAGAACTGTTCAAGCCACCCCTCCAATTTGGGAGGAAAGCTGATTTATTGAGTTCTCACTGCAGCTTATAAACTTTTTTTTTCTTTCTTTCCTTTATTATATATATGTTGGTGGTGGTTTTCCCTTTATTATATTTACATGTTGGTGGTGGTTTTCGGTGCCCTCGTAATCTGATTTTTTCGAGAATGAATGTTATTTTGTAGAACATAGTTAATCTAATTTATATGAAATAATAAAAAATGGATTTAAAATGAACGATATATGTTTCGTTAAAATAATAAAAATTGTCATCAAAATTATGTAGAAGTTTATTATTACTAACATTCATTTTCACATTTTCTTAAATAATATAAAACAATAGGTGGTTTAAATAATATAAAACAAATAAGCTTTGGTTATGATTTCGGCACAAAAATATCCTACCAAACAAGATAGATGATTTACCTCATACGTAACGTTGTTTTGCACCATACATAACACTGTTGTATGAGATATAAAAACTTGTTACGCTCCTCAAATTTATGTATCTTTAATTTGTTGTATGTTTATATATTTAGTTGCTATGTTATTAATCAATAAAATAGTTAACAAAATTTTAGTAATAGGTTGACAAATTTCATTCAAATAACCAACTTTTGATTTGTTGTAGTTAACAAAATTAACAAAGAAGAACAAATTTGATCCACGTTACATAATTAATGTAAATAGTATAAACACATAATTAAATTATTTAACTATTCTATCATCAATAAAATATAATACATATCACAATTCTCAATCTACTTTTTCCCTCCCACTTTCCCTTCCACTTTCCTCCATTAAACAACATTTTCTTTCCAATTCCCTCTAATTTCCCTCCCTTCCAAACTTAACCTCCCCTCCAAATTTTCCTACCCTCCCCTCCTTTTCCTCCCTTCCTTCATGAACATAGTGTAAGTCTGCACACCTTTCCTTCACTTCCTTCTAATCTAGGAGGTGGAGTCACATACACTTCCTCATCCAAATCTCCATGTAACAAAAAAAAATGATAAATCCATTTGGTGTAAACACCAGTTTCTATCTGATGCTACTGCTAACAATGTCTTTAATGTATTAATTTTGGAAACAGGTGAGAAGGTATCACGAAATCTATGCCATGAATTTGTGTAAAACCTTTGGCAACTAACCTGGATTTGTACCTTTCAATTGATCCATTATCTTTAAGCTTGGTTTTGAATACACATTTGCAGTCTATAGTTGTTTTCCAGATGGCGGAGTAACAAGATCCCAAGTTTTATTCTCAGTCAAGGCATTCAGTTACTCTTCCATGGCTTTAACCCAATGGTGTTCCTTGGCTGATTCCTTGTAAGGTAGAGAATCCATGAAGACAACAAGACTCATTGCATACCTCCACGGCGGTAGAATTAGGTTCGATGATAGATTTGCAGAGCTGGGCACGAAGGCGTCAGAGAGCAGTCAGCTACCGATTTGCATAGCTAGCGGGGGCAGATTTGCTGGGTTATGCTTTCATGGGTTTCTTCAATTTTTTGGCATTGATCTGACTGGTTTTTGTTTTGTTTGTGTTTGTTTGCGAGGATCTGTGTTGGTGGGCATGAAGATGGAGGAAGAGAGGGAGAAGCAAAAGGCAGAGGAGGCCGAGGAGAAGGTTGAGTGAGGTGGGGAAGGGTCAAGATGATCTGGTCAAGGTGGGTTAGGGTTTGTATTGGTTTGGGTATAATGATGTGGCGGGTCGGGTTTAGTATTTATTGGGTTAAATCCAGCTGACTAGGCAATTCTGTTTACCATGTCAGCACTTAACGGACTCCATTAACGAAGTTGGACGGAGACTAACGGAGAGTGACCAAACTTGGACCGTTTAACTAATTTTAGTGACCAAAATTGATATTAAGTTTTTTCCAGTGACTATACATAACACATTTTAGTAAACCCAGTGACCAAACTTTGCATTTACCCTTTTTGGGAGAGGTTGGTTAGAGAGAGGTGGAGCGGCGGGGACGGAGAGAGAATGAGATGGGGTCGGTTGTTACTTGTTAGGTTTAGGGTTAGCTTTTTTATGTTTTAATTATTATTATATATACTTAAGATAAATTATTATATTTTAATAAAAGGAAAATACAAATCAGTCTTCAAACTTTTTACTCTTAAGCTTATTAAAAAACCTTTTTTTTAGTAATCGGTGGGATCTTTATTCATCAAAAAAGCGTTGTTAGCAACACCCTTGCTAGCTAGGGAACCAAACCAAGTGTTGGGAAACAAAGGAATAAAAACCTAACCTCTTAAACAGAACCTTAGTTTAGACATTCCAGAATAGGCTATCACGCTCACTACCCAAAACAAATTCAATTTTTGATTGAATCAAGTTCAAAAAT